GTGCACACAATTGGTAATCAGGACATGACGAGACACCAGACGTGACAAATGGTATCTTTTGGCATGAGAGCAAAGAAGGAAAGGGAGGGCATGTCATTTCTAATCATCTAGAAAGGTCTTCTCTTCATAACACTTACTTTAGAGCCTCCCTTAAGTGTTGAAGCGTGAGCCATTAAAAATAGGTTGAAGCAATACTCACAATGTCAGTAAGAGACTTAATGCGTGGAAAGAAACAAGTCAGACAGATTTAACCCAAAGCTTTGACATACTTCCTACTCTCACTGCTCATGCCCATTATGATAGGTGAAGTTACCAGAAGTGCATCAGAAGTAATCATAGATATTTTATCAGATCCTCTCAGGGGTATATGACTGAAATATATAGCCATAGCTACATATAAATATACAAATCTATAGGTGGTACTAATAATAAAGTGCTGGCTGGTTGACTACCTGAGTCAGAAGTGTTTGTCTTTGTCCAGTCAGTGACTCAGGTCCAGGCTTCAAGATCTCTAAAAATGTTAAATAGTTTTTTTTTGTAATTAGGAATAGATATCCATTGAGGCCATTAACAAATCCTCTGCCAATATGACAATGTTTTTGAGCAGTCTACCAACACTAATACTCAGCCCTCCCCTGATGCACTATTTTATTCCATAGAATATGATGATGGGCATAGTTAGTGCTTCATGCTTAATTTATGGGAATCTGGTTATTACATATTGAAATAAACAAACTGTGAAAGTGAAAAGGTAACAGTTAACAGAAAATACATTTATACATTTATACAGGCATCTAGTTACATACAGGAATATAGAGATAGGATATTCATGTGGGCCAAAAGTTCAAAGAACAAACAATGACAGAACATGAAGAGGCTGAATCTTCCGGAGTTTTCTACTGAGTTTTCATCTGCTTCCTTATTCCAAGGCATGAATGTTTGCTTGTTAAATCACAAAAGTAAACTTCTCCATGGGATGTGGTCACTTTGAAGAGGGACTTTTCATATTTCTGTCTGTTGTTGTCACATTAAATTCACATTACAACTCCTCCACAGAAGACTGTGATGATTTCCGAAAAAAAAAAAAGGGAAGAGGTTGAGGAGCCATGGGTGAACTCTCCCTTCATGCTTCATATGCTGATGCACACTGACAGTCTGTCTGCAGTGAGAGGAGAATGGAGCATGTTAGGCAGGTCAGAAGATACCAAGCTGACAGTCAATGAAATATTCAAGCTGAGGTGCCGCTACCATGGATCTGATGCCTCGAATGTCTCCGAAACAAATTGCACTCAGATCCAAAAAAACGTAAAGAAAAGTAAATCTCATTGGCATCACACACACAGAAAGGTGTAGGACTAGCTGTATCTCTTCTTTACAGAAAAAAGTTAAGAGAGAATTAAAGATGTTTTTAAAAAAGGGTGAGTCAACACTAATAGGAAAACACAGAAGTGTGGTAAATACCACTACATCGACTTTTTCAAATGTTTCAATGACTCAAAGATATTTAGTGTCATTCCAAACCATGTAGTACACTGAAAGTCCAAGATAGACAACATTTAACATTAAACTATTTAAAAAAACAGGAAAAGAACACACTCCCTCATGAGTAACACGTACACAAGTTATGCGGATATTGTATACAAGTGCAGAAATCATAAGAGGATATTTTCTGTATAAAATTAAATTTGGCGAGTGTATGTGTACGGATGAAAATTAAATGGATTAATTGCCCAAATTAAAACATTTAACCATTTTAAAAATAAAACTCTATGAGAACCTTATTACCATACCCAGTATGTTAGATCATGATCCTAGAATGGGTTAAAAAATAAGAACAAGAATATTGATGAAAAGAAAATCAATTAATAAGTGATACATTAATGATTTACAGGGACAATAGAGAACTTACCTTAGGATACACTAACATTTAGATTATTTTATATTTTGTGTCGCCTTAAATCCGAAGACATTTGTGGCTTAAATGAACGAGAATGTTCGGTCACTGAGGAGCTTTGAATGTATATATTTTTACGTTGCTTCCATCTTCTGGAATGTGTCATGATTGCATGTGTACCTCCTCTGTTTGTAAGCAGTCTTGACAAAAATATTTCTTGATGAACAAAGTTGTTTTCCATCAATTTTACAAAATAAAATAAAAAACTTAAATTACTAAACATTGCCACAACGTCCACTGCATCCTCACACTGTGATGCACACACTATTTCATAGTGCTAAATGACAGAGGTTACACACAAACACATGCAAAAACTCACCTCTGCAGTTTTTTGCACCACCATGAAAGACGTCATGTAATACCCAATTTTTAAATATAATTTTAAATTGAATTCTTTCACAAAAAAAATAAGTTTAAAAGTGCTTGTGAGGAGGAAGAAGGGGCTGAAATGTGACATTGCACTAAGAAATGTAAATAAAAGAGATTTCTTTTTCTGTCCGAGTCTATGTTTTTCTTTAAATAAATGTTAAAAAAGGCAATAGCTTTTGTGTGATAATGGTTTCTGTTACATTCTTTTTATATGTAGATAAATGTGAGACACACATTTAGATCCTTTTGTCACAGAGTAGCAGAAAAGATGGCATTTATTGAAAAATGAGACCTTTATAACAACACATATATCATATATCCAGTCACTTTCAAAGTGTTTTACTTGTACAGTGAGCCATGAAAAACTGGCTGCCGTGAAAAAAAAAGTAAGACCAAAGAATTGTCACCGTCAAAACACAACACATGTCCATTGAAACCCAAGTCACAAAATACAGAGCAGATCTGAGCATGCTGAACCTCTGAAAAAACCCAGATACTTTGCATAATCACGTACTGTACAAACTTCTATTGCATACTGATGTTCTGTACAAAAACATCTGAATAAATGAAGAACGTTGAGCGCATGGAGAGGGGTCAGTAAAACTGATACATTGACACAAAAGAAGGTGCATGATAAATGGCTGAGGCAGGGCTGCAGCCATACATATACCAACATCCTATTTCTCATGTTTTTTGGGCCCTAAACGGGACGAAGCGTAAAAAGTACCTCAGATTTAATTGTGCTAAGGCAACCATGACATTTTTATGCGAGAGGAAGGCAACAAATAAGATGTCACTGTAGCTCAGCTGCCTTAAGAACACAAGTTAGAGCTTAGATCTATTCCTCATGAATGTGGCACTTACAAACACGTATTTCCTGCGCTTGACAAAAAGCACAAGTCGTGAACACAAAGCACAAAAGAAGAAAAAGATGAAAAGAGGGAAACTTTCCAAAGTTTAGCTTATAAAGTGTGTAGACATCTGACAGATGCCAACAATCCCTTTTCCTGCCACGACCATGTAAACACATTTTTAAAATGAAATGAAAATAACTCTCAGTTCATTAGTGGAAAACAACATGAAGGCTCATGGATATAAAAGACAGAATAAACATACTAAAAAAGATAAAACCATCAAATGGCGAGTTTGCTAAAAAAAAACACATCGATGCTTACGCAAAGATAAACAAAAGAGTCGTATCTAAAATGCTTATTTTAGGATTTGGGTGAAACCACCCTTCCCAAAGCCAATTAGCTGAGCTGGGTGTGGTCACGTTGCATCATAATTAAATGAAAGATGAAAGAAATTCCAAATCAGTACCCGCATAATCTCCTCAGACCACTGCTTGCAGCCTACAGCATCATCGCTACACCGGTGACACGTGAAGAACGCACCTTCAGACCTGTGATGAAGACTCACAATCAACCAGGCAATAATATGGCAGCACATTCTAATCATAGAGTCCAAACAACTGATCTGAGGTATTATCTATTGTCAATTCATGACATAAAATGAATCGAAAGTACTAAAGTAGTTCCTTTGTTTGATAAAAATCTAAAGTGGAAGATCAAGTGGGTCCCAATTCTGCTAAAAATAAAGTTATGTCAGATAATAGCGATGCATTTGATTAAAAATATGCTTTTGGATATACTGTACATATTTGAAAATATGAAAATAGAACACAAACGAGAAATTTAAGTTGAAATCTTAAGCGCTAAGATTTACAGAGGGAGAAGGGAGAAGGACACAAAACTAATACATCCGAACGGGAGCACATTTACAATCCCCACTTCTCGTATATTTACAAAATAAGAGCAAGACTTTGTATAAAGAGTCTACATCCCACGACACAGCCCACAGACCCAGTGCGGCTCAGCGTTTTAGTGTCAGGATCCTCAGCACGCGCACAGGGCCGAGCAGTGGTGCTGCGACTGGGCCCCCCCCTCCTCAGAAGAGCTGGTTTCTGTGTTTTCCTCACGAGGCGGAAGAGACCGTTCGCTCTCCGTGTCTCCGCCCGGCGTCTTCTGCGCCAGAATTCTGCGATAGGGACCTCTGAGTTCGGGCGGTCTGTGCGAGGAGCGCCGGGACCTTTTGGGAGGGGGAGCGGGGGCGCAGTCCATCTGGGTGGTGGGGTCTTGTTTCTCGAAAATACTCACTTGCGCGCTGGAGGGGGGCAGCGCGGCTCTCACGGCGTCGGCGTCGGGTAAGAGCTGCGTGGTGGCGCAGAAGGTGGCTTCGTACAGCCCGAACGCCTGCTCCAGAGTTCTGGAACTTTCTCTGAAGGGGGACGGCGCATCCAGCGGGTCACTCGCCTGAAATAAAGCACGCAAACAGGTCAGCAACGGCTCAGAATTCCTCATTTCTTCGTCACAATTGCTGATTATTAGCAGTTCGTGGCATGTTTTCCTGCAAAGAATAGGAAAAAAAAAAACTTTTAAGACAACTTTTGGCACAATGAACACACTAATGAAAGTGTTTACTTACAAATGGACAAAGACTAATACAAAAAAAGATTAAAACAATATTGGATTAGATAATGTTTAAAAAGACCCGTGGATCTAATTTAAGGTGCAAAGCATGGGATGAAAGGGATGAAAGGAGGGTAAGTGGAAAGATGTTTCAGAAAGTTCAAATTTGCAACTGTTGTTGTAACTGCTTTCTTTTTGTAAAGTACTGTATATCTCCACAAACTGTCCCACAGTCTTGCCAGAGAGCATTCAGACTATTTACAAATAAGAAAACAATCATTCCTGTCAAAAAGTTATGAGACTGATCTACATCTTTTAATGATGAAATATAAAAATCCAAAATATTTAGTGCTTAATTTGAAGCATCATCAACAGGTCAAATTAATATCTGTTTGTTTTTTGTTTTTTTCATTTTGATGCCACTAAACAAAAACAAAGACTGGTAAATTCGCATTAAGTTGCAGAATTGCAATCAAACAAACAAACAGATAAAAACTAAGGAGAGTGGAATATGGAATTTAGTCAAGATGAAATTTCATATTCCAGAATATACAATCACTCAAACAATTGTGCGCATTAAAAATAAACTTTGTTTAAGGGACACGGTTGAGATGTCTTACTGAATGGTTTTCATCTCTGGGCCCACAAGCAATGCTGGGGTTTAAACAGAGTCTACCCTATCGGTACGGTCTCAAGACCACTTCCAAATACCACCTGCTGCCAGTGAACGTAGCAAACGCACAAAAACAAAAGTCTACCACACACCTGTGAGGTTTTATAGAGGGCAATGAAATTTCTATAAAAGCTAAAATTTTCAAAACAGCTCATACAGACCAGCTGTACAGACTGTTTCCAGTTTTTCTCTAAAAAAGAAAGAAGTTTTTATTAAACACCAGATTAATCACAAGCAGCCAGGATCAGGAGCAAACAGATCATTGGCTGGAAGTTCTGATGACAATCTGACAGACTTTTATCAGTGAGCAGTCACCTCACTACCACTCCAGGCATGTCCATCCCTCATGTTCTTCTCCATATATCTCATCCTCTTCATAAAACATGCCATCCTCATTCTCCGCCTGTTGACCCCGAAAACAAAGAATGATTTGGTGAACCAATAGCCCCCTGGCCGGAATGGCTGCTGTGACGTTTGATCAACAGCTAGCGGTTTCGAAAAAAACTAAACATTCAACTGGTAACAATATCATTAAGAACATAAAAATGGACTACAAACACAACACAGATTCAAATGCACAGAAACAAACAACATATACAGTATGTTTGCATGAATAATGAATCATATCAAAAAAAGAGCGTGCAGCACAGAGATGACTCTAACCTTCTGGACCTCGCATGTGTTATAGGGAGTTCCGGGGTATGGAATCTGGTCGATCCCTGTGGCCATGTCGACTACGATCTCATCTCGGTGCATCGGGATGGGGGGGCCGGCACGCTCCTGTAGAGCCAGGACGATGACGGTGGTGTTGTCTGCACGCAGCATGCGCTCCTTCCAAAACAGCAGCGCCGTGCATCCCAGCCGCCGGGCACAGGACATTCCCTTCGGCCCCTTGAGGAATCATGGAAAGGAAAATGAGAGGAAGGTTCACGCCCTTGATGATAATTGCAACAAATGAAATCCTGCTGCTGTGAAAATTTAAGGGAAAAAAACAAGTTTTGACAAGAGTCACGCGATGACGTACCACCATTTTGTCGTGGCTGTAGCACATGTTCACAGCGTTCTTAGGGGGCATCATGTTCCACAGGCCGTCGCTGCCCAGAATGATGTAGCGATGGCGTTTGGGGTCGAGGGTCATCACCGTTGTGTCAGGTTCAGGAGAGACCACAAACTCCCCGCTGTAGAAATCATAGCTCCAGAGGTCACCTGTCCACAGTTAAGGATGGTTTCAAGTTTCGAATAGTGGATAGAAAGAAAAGGAAGAAGGAAAAAAAAAAAAAAAAAAAAAAGGAGAAAAGCTCTCTTCTCTACCGAGGGATCGGGCGACAGCCAGGAAAGGGATCTGGTCTATGACCGTACTTCTCCTCACGGGGCCGTTATGGGTCAGCCTGGGCCTCTTCCACACGACACGGTTCACCCCAGATTTCTTCATCACACTAAAACGAACACATAACACATACATCTTAAAGCATGTTAGAGGGAAGTGCACGATTAGACCGTCACTGAAGTCCTTACCTGCCACCCAGTCGCTCGATCCTTTCCTTTTCTTTAGGAAGCTCCGGTTTGTGATCTTGTGTTATTTCCAGCGCCTGGAGCGTGATGTCCGAGTCGTTTTCTTTCACTCCGACCACGACCGCCGAGTCCCCGACGTGAGCGACGTACATGTGAGTTCCGCGGATCACCACGACGCTGGCCGTGGTGCCCGACGTGCTGGGCAGGCCCGTGATGGTCTTTGGCCACTCCGCTGTAAGTGGAAAAAAAGGGCAAACAGAGATACAAATGTGTGCTTTCGACATTAACAGAGGACGGTGCTGTGTCTGTAAGAAGAAAGCAGTTCTATTTGTACTTACAATGGGCAGACACTATATCATACGAGGAAAAAATGGAAAGACAAAGACAATTGGAGCGGATTCGATCCCTTGGCTTGTTTAGAAAAAAGCTCTATCATTGAGCATGTTGGCAGAACACAAGTAATGAGCAAAACAAATGTGTCTTGTGTGGTGATATTGTGTTTTGCAGCACATCTTAAAGACACAGTAGAAGTCACAAACTGAGTAGAAACAGCATACACTCCTCTAACACACACTACAGTATTATAACAGTAGACGTCAGTGATCAGGTGAGCTTTTGAAACAAATACAGAGTCAGCCCATCATGGTGTTGATCTGCTCTGGGGTGTGCCAGGCAACAGATGATCTTGCCTCCTCACGCCAGCTGAGGAAAGATGCTGCCTTGTGTGACAGTTCGATGCAAAGACTCGTGATAAAAAACACTGCTGTTGGGGACTTACGCAGCTCTTTCCACATGGCGTGGTGACAGGCGATGAACCCCTTCCGTAGCGCCGCGCACACCTCGCCGTGATCCTTCGACCAGAAGCCCCGCTGCCTTTTTAACAAATCCCACAGATGCTCGCTGGCGAAATGAGCCGCTTCCCGACCCCCGTGGCCGTCGAACACGGCGAAAAACGCCACGGACCTCCGGGTGTCCACTACGCGTTCCGCGTCCGTTTGTTTTGACGCCGTGGCGCTGAGGTCCTCGTCCGGGAAACTCTCGACCCACACGGCCGTGGCCGGACCCGGTTCTCCGGGGCCGTGTGTTGCCTTGGCGACGGTCCCTTCGGTGGCTCCCGTCTCCGCATTCCTCTGCCCTCCATATCTGTGCGGTTTAGGTTTAGGTTCGTCTTCGTCTGCCGACGTCGTCGGCTCGTACTCGATCCTTATCTCGATAACATCCTCCATGTATTTTCTCCCCCCTTGCTCGGAAAACGCGCTCATACGAAACAGCAAGGAGTCGTCCATGATTGCAAACGCCCGACTGGAACCGTCTACGCGACGAAAACGAGCATGTAGCGGCTAGCGGTAGCTCGCAAGCTAATATTTTGAACCGATTTTGCCGCGACTGTGTCGCCGAAGGCTTCCTTCCTTTTTTTTTTTGTTTATCCTCTCCGAAACGTCAGACTGTACGTGATGGCGTCACGTCTCTCTGCCTCGCGCGCCTGACAGCTGTGCTCGCGTTTCCTCGAGCGCAAGCACGACGACGCGACGTGTGGCAGGTAACGTAACGGGTTTTTAAACGTTACGTTAAGGTTCCGACTGCCTTCTTGCTTTTACCAAACAAATACATGACCAGTTGAATAACTCAGAACCTAGAGGCGCCAACACAACTTTTGCTGTTGTCTAAAAAACGACAAAAATCCCCCAGGCTTTTGAATTCAATTATCTAAAACTAACTGTTAGTTTTAAATCTAGCAGTGTTATTTCAAAATGGCTGACATAACATAAGTCACCCATCACTATAATAATACAATAAAGATGAAAGGAATGTGAAATTACTCCCATTTCCCTGCACACACACATTCCATGTCATTGTGAATTAATTCTGTCACAATCTTTTTCCTTGCTATATAAACATGGATAAATACAGTATGAAAATGAGTGATAGAATTAATGTATCAGAGCAGATCACAAATAACCAAAGTGACCTGACCTAAGAAGCTCTTCTTCAAGCAGTACTACAGCAATACCAGGTGGAGGCAGTGTTAATCAAGTATAAAAAATCGTTTATTTTTATCCTCATTCTTCACATAAATTGAAAACACTGAAGCAGAAATTCTGTTAGATTTTGGGAATCTAATATGTGACACCCATAAGAACATTGTGTTTTAACAGTCTTATGGGAATAGTTTTCACATTAGTTTTCTTAGTCCATATGCACATTGATTTGTGACTTAGATGTGCTCTGGATTTTTTAATGTGCCTTTTAAGGTCTAAGGTGACTTTGCACTGGTTTGTTTGCAGCATTTTTTGAGCTCATAGACAGACTGTAAACAGTTTTTTTGTTTTGTTTTTGCCTCAAGATGCAGTTGTTTTGATGCTATAAAAATAAATACATCACATCATTCTATTTCTCCCCAGTTCTTTGTTAAAGTTCATACACACTTTCACATTGCCCTTTTCAGTATGTGATGGCCAACTTGGAAGAATTATTGATCTTAACAAGAAAGAAAGAGACATTTCTGTTTAATTAAAATTTCTCATCGCAACTCAAGAAAATCCCCAAATCATACATTATACATTATAAGAATTCCTCTTTAACTCCTCTCAGCTCTGACCTTAGATGAGGATTACTCTTCATCTTTGAGAGAAAATCTTTACATCTTTTCGTCTTTGGTGAGTGTGTGTGGGTTATAAGTGTTCTTTCTTTATGCATGAGCGAGAAAGCGAGCAAAGGTGACGGCATACAGATTTAAGTGGAGAAAAAAGGAAATTCCCACATTATATTTTCCTTCAGTTCCTCCATTGCATCGTTATCCCTTAACACCCAAAGCTCCACCCTTGAATTAAACCTTTCTTTCTTTCTTTCTTTCTTTCTTTCTTTCTTTCTTTCTTTCTT